CCTTGGCTGGACGCCCAGCTAGCGGTGGTGGCGCCAGCTGCAGACGCCGCCACCAGTGGGCTGGCGCCTGGGCTGGACGCCACAGCCACGACTGCGGCGCCTTGAATAAACGCCACAACCGTGGCTATGGCGTCCAGCCAACTGGTGGCGGCGTCTGCAGCTGGCGCCACCACCGCTTGCTGGGCGTCCAGCCAGGGCGCCCCACCGCCGTCACGGCGGTTTTTCCCTTTATGTTTTTTTTTTTTTACAAATTGTACCTTGCCTCCTTGGGACATCCTTCCCTCCGCCGCCGCCGCCAATTCCTTGCCTTGCCGCCTTGACATTGCCGTTGTTTGAATTTTTTTTTTTTAAGAGAGGTTGAAAGAAGATGAGCAATGAGAGTGTGAGTGATGAGAGTGTGAGTGTTTTTTTTTTAAGGTCAAGGGCAATTTTGTCAAACCAAGTGAATTTTGTGGGCTTTATGTAGTAATTTGTGGGCAATGTTTAACAAATCCCTTTTTATATGACCCTTCACATGACAATAGTTTTTTCCTTTACCAAAATTCTTATTACCATCATGAGTAACTAAAGCATTATTTTGAGCCGGATTATTAGATTTATTAACAAATTTTTTGTCAATTAAATATCTTAGAGTGAAGGCATCCTTAACATCCTCCAAACTCAAATAATCTTTACCATACAATAAAGTATCTCGAAAATGCTTATACGTAGGCGCTAAAGAACACAACAACCTAATAGCCATATCCTCATCATCGATCTCAACATCGATGTTTTGCAAATCCATAATAATAGAGAATAATTCATCTAAATAAGACTTAAGCGGTTTACCTTCTTCTAGACGAAGATCATGAAGTCTAGATTTGAGTAGTAGACGGTTGGTCACGCTCTTTGTCATATAAAGTGACTCCAACTTCAACCACATACCCGCATAAGTCGTCTCCTTGGCAACCTCTCTCAAAACATCATCAGAGAAACATAATTGAATTGCCGAAAGAGCCTTCAAAACGATCTCCTCCCACGTATCCACCGTCATGCCCGAAGGCTTTTTGGATACACCTTCAAGATCCTTGTGACAGCCACTTTGAACCAAGATGGCTTTCATCTTCAATTGCCATATGCCAAAATTCAATTGTCTATCAAATTTCTCAATGTCAAATTTCATTGGCATAATTTAATCAAACTAATCTATAAACACCTAAACATTAAGACCTTAAAACCTTTGGCTCTGATACTACTTGTTAGGAAATTAGGGTGTAATTGTGTTTGATTAATGCAGAACAAATCAATGAAATTAAGAACCAGAAAAACAATAAAGAAGATAATCAAATAACACAAGGATTTACGTGGTTCGGTCAAAATAGACCTACATCCACGGGTGGGGGATTCGAGAGCTTCTTCACTATAATGGAGAAATAAACAAGAGAATAATACAAGAAGTCTTAAATCTAATGGCTCAAAAAAAGGTATGATCTAATTGATCAACTAAAGGGTCCTTTTATAACACAGGGAAACCCTAATAAAACCATATGATTGTTCCCCAAGTATACTCAAATAGCCGTCATTGAAAAGATATAATTTTAGAAAATATTCCATCAATTATCCTAAAATAACCTAACTACCGAGCCATAGCTCAGTAGCTAGCTCATGCCTGCCGAAAGTCCTCATAGGGCCGAGCTATAGCTCACTTGCATAGTGCTATAGCTCGCAGCCTCGTTGCAAATTTCCAGCTTTGTTAGGTTTTCGTAAAACGATCATAACTTTCTCGTTTCTTATTGGAATTCGGCATATGACCTATCGTTGGAAAACTCTTAAACCAAGATATTACCTCCAACTTGAATCACCTCAAAATCAGTTGTAGTTTGAGAGATATAATCTTTCAAAATCAGCCCTACTAGATTTCGAGTCACAATTTAACATATACATTGAATTACTTTAACTAAAAAAATCCATAGAATGTTGTTTCGTTTATTCTAAGGAAATAGAAAAAAAAAGGAAATTCTCATTGGCACACCCGCGGTTTTGACTTTCCCATTGATACACTCTTAAATTTTTGCCTTCCCATCGGTACACCCATGGTTTGTTCTTTTTCCCAACCGTGACTAACACCGTTAAAAATTATTTCATTAAGTTAAAATAATTAAGGAAAAGACTATAATAACCCTTTTAAATATTTAATGTCTCGATTTGCGTGTTGAAAATTTTTCGGTAAAAGTTTTGGGAGTTATGTTATATTTTAAGGAACCAAATTAACCTTGAAATTAGTAAAAAAAAAATTACGCAAATGTCTCATTTGCGTGTAAAAAAAAGTCTCGATTTACATGTCGTTACTTTTTTTGTGATAATTATTGTTCAGCTAAGGTTTTAGGGGTCATTTTGACTCTTTATGGGTCTAAATCGAACTCGATATTATCAAAAAAGTAACGAAAATATCTCGTTTTGTGTGTCATGACAAAAAAAAAAGAAATATTATGACATGCAGAATTAACGAAAATATCTCGTTAATTTTTTGACAATTTTGATTTCGATTTAGACCCATTACGGGTCAAAATGACCCTTAAAACTTTAACCGAACAATTACTCTCACAAAAAACTAATGGCACGCAAATCGTGACATTTTTTATACGCATATGAGACATTTGCTTTTTTTTTTTGCTAATTTGGGGTTAATTTGGGTCATTATGGATTAACATGGCTCCCAAAACTTTAACCGAATAATTTTCGACACGCAAACTGAGACATTAAATGTTAAAAAGGGGTATTATATTCTTTTCCTTAATTATTTTAAATTAGTGAAATACTTTTTAACGATGTAGTCACGACTGGGAAAATGACCAAAGCATGGATGTACCGATGAGAAGGCAAAAATTTAAGAGTATACCAATTGCAAAGAATCTGATATCGGTTATTTTTTATTTTATTTTCTTTTGGAAAAGATTGTTTTGCTTATTGCGTTAGCACTATCAATAGTTCCTTTTTACTATCAAATTTCATTGATTGATGAACCGTGAGTTGACATTAATATAGAAGCAAAAAAGACATTTATTAGTACTTTGTTAAAGATGTATAAACTTATATTTTGTAAATTCAAACAATTTATATGTCTCATCTAAAATGATAACTATTTAATAAGTTTTTTACTACTTGTGTTATGTCAATAAAAATTTTAATTAATCCATGAAAACTACCAAAAAAAAAACACAAATATGATACTCCAATTTTTTTAACAGCTTTAATCATGTCCTTTTTTTTATGGGTAGTTTTCACGAATTAATCAAATATAAAAAAAATAATGATATTCCAATATAAAAAAAATGTTTAATCACCAAGTTAATATACGTTTTAATTTATGACTCGATTATCAATTCTTGAAATTTAATTGTTATTTGTATTCCCCTTCACTAAAAAATAATATATGGTAGTAATAATTAATAAAAGAACATAAATACGAAATAGCTTGGTGGTAAACATTTAGGTTTTGAATTGGGGGTCAGATGTTCAAATCCTTTACGGGTAAAATCAATATATAAACATAACTAATATAACAACCGCTGAAATCATCCCCTATTTAAATTGTACAAATGTGAAGTTGTGGCAAAAAAAAATTTCCTCCTAGATCAATTGCTGACATCATATTCTTATTTTTATTTTTACTTATTTTTTGAAACCTTCTTAAATTTTGCCTTAATTTATTAAATTATTTATTCGAGTATTTTTTTTGAAGAGAATTATTATATTATGTTATTTTCTATTTATTTATTTTTTACATTATTATGGATTTATAAAAAACTATGAGGCGTCCAAATATAATTACTCCGGGTTTAAGAGTACTCTTTATTGTATAATTTGGTTAAACTTTTACTATCTTCAAAATTATTTAGATCTAAATACCATTGCAATTAATGATTATGTTTCTATTTTTTTTTTCTCATATGAGGTACATATATATAATATATTTATTTTTATGTCGTGCATCGCACGGGGCTAATTTAGTTTAACCTAGTTTCTATATACCAAAAGATACACCTGCATTGACAAGTATCATCTCTTAGTGTGTCTGTTTTGTTTTCTTTTTAATTTATTTTGTCGAATTAAAAATTCTATTAATAGACAAATCTTATAAAAAAATCTCTAACTTTATACAAAATAATATTTAAAATATAAAAGAATTGACATATTTTAACACAAATATTTATTTAGCTTTAATCAAAACATTCTTAACATAATTTTGATAATTTTCTATATCATTTTATATCTAACATTATATTGTAATCCTTTATTTTGATAAAAAAAATTGGCATCTATATTGTTAGATTTTTTTTATTCTATAAAAATTTAATGATAGTTTGATAATAGTTATTGAAAATTACCGTACATGGCACGAGAACTAACCTAGTTTTTTTAATAAGTTGATGACATACAAGAAATGAGAATCAAAATGATAAGAGTGACATGTGTCACATAAAATGAGTCAAAATGAGAAGAGTGACACATGTCAGGTATATTGATTTAAGAACGACTTTTAATATAGTGTAGATTTCTTAAAGCACACCTGAATATAAAATATAAAAGTACATTTTTCAAAATGCATTTATTTAGCAGGTCGAATATAAAAATACACAAATGAAATATATTTAAACATTAGTCGTAGAGGTAAATCATTAAATTACCCAAGAAAAAACTTAAAGTCAATTAACATCATGTCATTATTGAAATATTGGTAAACGCACATTTTACGGATAGATATTTATACAATTGTCCTCACATTATTCATGTGTTTTCTCATATTTTTGAGAAGGTAGGGTCTTAAAAAAATTCATTAATATAATCCCCTTCAAAATATTAAAGTGCTAAATTCAACTATGTTCTTTAGACCATCAAATTAACTTAGTAACGAAGATAAATTGTCACAACCATCATTATATAAATAACTTTTATCAAGGGTCATTTTTATCAAATTTAGGGTGACATTTATAATTTTTTGCACTGAGAGGGGGGTCAGATAGGAGGAGGCTTAGGTTGGATTTCCATTAAGACTAAATTTTATTTTGTATATACAACTTAAGAAATACAACATGCAATTTATATCAATACAAAGATTAAATTGCACAAAATTTATTGTTTTTAGATACATAGATGAGAACGGAGATGGAAAAATCTCCCCAGCTGAGCTACGAAAATGTGTGAAAGCAGTCGGTACTCAACGACTATCTGTAGAAGAGGCGACAGCAGCCGTTGAGTGTTCAGATTCGGACGGCGACGGATTGTTGAGCTTAGAGGATTTTGGTAGATTGATGCAAGGCAACGAACTATCGGAGGAGGAAAAGACGGAGGAGTTAAAAGAAGCGTTTTTGATGTACAATGATAAGAAGAATGACAGATTTTATAACACCTAAGAGCTTAAAAAGAATGTTGGGTCGACTTGGTGAGCCGAAGTTAATTCATGAATGTAAGGCTATGATTCGGGTGTATGATGATGTGGATTTAAACCCCTTAACTTAATAAAGAATCTAAAATCACACAAGTAACACAAGCCCTTCGAATTTCCTAAGAAAATCGAACAACTTAAGAATAACGAACCGGATATGACTTTGAAAACGACCACTCCTGGAACGAATTCAACGTCTCTCAAATTACCTAGACCACTCCTGGAACTAAGTACTCTGATGAACAAAACTTAGACTACTCCTAGAACTAAGAATTGAACGTTCTAATTATCAAAACAACTCCTTGAATTGAAAACTAGCAAAAGAATTTGTAAGCAATTAAGCAAAACAAACAATAAACTTGTATTGAATTTTCTGGTTTTGGTTATGTATACCAAGCCACGAAAAATCCCTTATTTATAGCCTAAACTAACTATTCCTAAGTCTATTCGAACTAGGAAAAAAAAAAAAAAAACCCTAGCCTTGATCCCCAAGTATCCTAGATAGAATAGGAAACCCAATTCTAATGGAACTAGGAAACTAGTAATAAGACTAGTTCTAATTAAACTAAAACTTCTTAAAACAATTCCTAATTGACTTAGAAATTATTTTAAACTAAAATAACAGAAATTAAGAAGATTCCTAATTGCTTAAACCAAGAAAAACCCTTTCAAGTGAAAGGTAAAAACTTGCAAGCAAAAACTCTAGAAAAAACTAAGTATAGAAAATCTTTCTTTTCGTACTGCCGCCGAACCACCGTCTCACGCGCCGCCATCATCGACACGCGCCCCACCGCCGTGTAGCTGGACTCAGGCCGGAGCTAGGGAGCCGGCGCGTGGCACCCAGATCGGCGCGTCGCCGCCGCTGCCGTCGTCGGAACCCAACTGGACCTTGACTTCTTCTTCAATGGCTGCGCATGTTAGCCATTCTTGATTCTTTACTCCAAGCTCGAACCCTATTGGCCTTAAAACCAATATGATTGGCTCTTCAAAAGAATTTCCCTCTTGATCCACATCATTCTCCCCCTCTTCAAAAGAATTTGTCCTCAAATTCACATCATCTAGGTAAGGAGTCAAATCACCAACATTAAAAGTAGCACTTACATTACCATATTCGCTTGGTAAATCAAGTTTGTAAGCACTATCACCATAAACTTCCAAAACCTCAAAAGGGCCGTCAGCTCTAGGCATGAGCTTGTTCTTCCTTTTGTTTGGAAATCTTTCCTTCCTTAAGTGTAACCAAACAAGATCTCCCGGCTTGAATGTAGGTTGCTTGCGCTTCTTGTTTGACCTTCCTTTGTAGACGTTATTCATCTTCTCAATCCTTACTTTAACTTGTTCACATGTCCTCTTAAAAACTTCAAGCCGTTTCTTAGCATCAATATGGATGTCCTCTTTGTTCAATGGCAACAAATCAATAGGCAAGAATGGATTAATACCATAAACAACTTCAAATGGAGCTTGTTGTGTAGTTGATGAAGGTGACCGATTATAAGCAAACTCCGCATGGCAAAGTCTCATATCCCAATCCTTTTGAGTCTTACTAACCAACCCTCTAAGTAAAGTACCTAAGGTTCGATTGGTTACCTCAGTTTGACCATCTGTTTGAGGATGATGAGAAGTACTAAACATGAGCTTTGTACCAAGTAGTTTCCACAAACACTTCCAAAAGTGACTAAGGAACTTTGAGTCCCTATCCGAAACTATGCTTCTAGGAACTCCATGAAGTCGAACAATTTCCTTGAAGTATAGATTAGCTACATGTTGCGCATCATCCGTCTTGTGCATTGGAACAAAGTGAGCCATCTTTGAGAATCTATCAACTACAACCATAATAGCATCCTTCCCTCTTTGAGTTCGTGGTAGCCCAACAATGAAGTCCATGCTAACACTATCCCAAGGACAATCTGGAACTGGAAGAGGTGTGTATAAGCCCTTTGAAAAAGAACTCTTTGCCTTTTGACAAGTAGCACATCTTGAAATCACACTTTGAACATCCTTGATCATCTTTGGCCAATAGAAATATTCTCTAAGCATATCAACTGTTTTGTGAACACCAAAGTGCCCCGCAATTGCACCACTATGCACTTCTCTAATAAGCAATTCACGCACACCACATTGGGGAATACAAAGTTTGTTACCTTGAAATAAGAAGCCATCTTGAAGTACAAAGTTGCGTGAAGGGTCTTTGTACTCTTTTGCCAAATCCGGACAGGTTGCATACAAATCAAGTATATGGTCAAAACCAATGATCCTAGCATCCACCATGGCTAGCAAATAAGATCTCCTTGATAGTGCATCGGCAACCACATTTGCTTTGCCTTCCTTATACTTTGAAGAAAACGTAAAAGACTGTAGGAACTCAACCCACTTGGCGTGTCTATAATTCAACTTTTGTTGTCCATGGATATACTTCAAAGCTTCATGATCCGAATGTAGCACAAAAGGTTTTGGTCTTAAGTAATGAGACCAATGATCCAAAGCACGTACAATAGCATAAAATTCACGATCATAGTTAGAGTAGTTCAACTTTGCACCACTTAGTTTCTCACTAAAGTAAGAGATAGGTCGTGCTTCTTGAATTAGAACCGCACCTATACCTGCTCCACTTGCATCACATTCAACTTCAAACAATTTATCAAAGTTAGGCAAAGCTAGAACCGGTGTATTGCATAGTCTTTCCTTGATTGTCTCAAATGCTTGTTGCGCCGAATTAGTCCACACAAAGTCCCCTTTCTTCATCAATTCCGTGAAAGGTGCCATGATACTAGAAAAGTTTCTAATGAACCTTCTATAGAACGATGCAAGACCATGAAAACTACGTGCTTCACGAATGTTTTTAGGTGCCACCCAAGTAGAAATAGCAGCCACCTTCTCGGGATCCACTTCAATACCCATTCCCGAAATAATATAGCCAAGAAAAGAAATACTTGGAACCATGAATGAGCACTTTTCAAGTTTGCCATATAGTTGTTGTTCTCTTAAGGTTTCAAATAATCTTCTAAGATGATCAATATGTTCAATATTATCTCGACTATAGACTAATATATCATCAAGGTAAACGACAATGAACTTATTTAAGAAAGGTCTAAGTACCTCGTTCATGAGCCTCATGAATGAACTTGGCGCATTGCATAGCCCAAAAGGCATGACCATCCATTCATATAATCCTTGCTTAGTTTTGAAAGCAGTCTTCCATTCATCTCCTTCTCTAATTCGCATTTGATGGTAGCCACTTCTAAGATCGATCTTGGAAAATATGATAGAACCATGTAACTCATCAAGCATATCTTCTAGTCGTGGCATAGGAAATCGATACTTGATAGTAATGTTGTTGACCGCTCTTGAATCAATACACATTCTCCATGTACCATCTTTCTTTGGAACTAGTAAAGCTGGAACCGCACAAGGGCTCATGCTTTCACGAACATAGCCTCTTTCAATCAATTCCTCTATTTGTCTTTGAAGCTCTTGGGAAGCCGTAGGATCGCACCTATAGGCTGGTTTATTAGGTAGAGGAGCTCCGGGAATAAGATCAATAGCATGCTCTATTCCACGCAAAGGAGGTAGACCTTTAGGAAGTTCCTCTGGGAACACATCCTTAAATTCATCTAGCAACTCTTCTATGTGCATGTTTGTTGAGGAACTTGTGGATTTCGCCTCTTTTATCACTAAGGCAAAGACCGTGGCTCCCTTTTCTACTTCACTCTCAAGTTCCTTAGCATTCAAAAAGAAATTCGGCACTTGCTTCTCTTTATCTTTGGTATGACCGTAGCTTGAATTAGGGGGTAGAGGATTGAGTTTGAACCTTTTGTTTCCTATTTTGACCGAATACGTATTTGCCTCACCATCATGTGTAACTTGACGATCAAATTGCCAAGGTCTCCCTAAAAGAAGGTGACAAGCACTCATAGGAATAATATCACACCATAACTTTTCTTTGTATTTGCCAATGGAAAAGCTTACTAAGGCTTGTTTCTTCACATGAAGTCCCTTAGAATCATCAAGCCAACTCAACTTGTAAGGATTCTCATGTACTCTTGTTGGAAGGTTGAGCTTAGTAACCATCTCTGTGGACGCCACATTGGTACATGAACCACTATCAATGATCACCTTACATGATCTATCTCCTACTTTGCAACGAGTATGGAATAAGTTTTCACGTTGAGATTTGTTAGGGATTGCTTCGGCATGGAGGATCTTCCTTAACACAAGCACTTTTTCATCATCTTCGGGATCAATCTCATCGTTCTCTTCCTCACTACTTGTTGCCTTAGTTTCGGATTCCTCTTCGTCACACCCAAAAACTATGTGTTTCTCTTCTTCTACTTGTTGTTCGTATTGTCTTATTGTGAGAGCTTTCTTGGAAGGACATTGATCCGACCTATGTCCCTTTCCTTGACATTTGAAACACCTAATTCGGGATTCGAACTCTTCTTTAGATATCTTAACAAATTTCTTTTCTCCACTTGTTGAGCTTTCTCCCTTAGACTCGTAGGAACTCGGTTTAAAAGGTTTGAAAGTTTTGCTTGTTTCGGTCCCTTGTGAGGACTTGGTACCAAAACTCTTTGTACTTGTGCTCTTCTTATCTTCGAGCCAATGACTTTCAATTTTTAAAGCTAGTTTGCACACATCATTGAATGACTCATAAGTACTCAATTCAATCTTCTTAGCAATAAGTCGATTAAGACCCTTAAGGAATCGAGCAATCCGCAATGGTTCTTTCTCCTCCAAATCACAAAGAGAGGTTAGTTTATCAAATTCAGCAATATATTCATTAACACTCTTAGTATCTTGTGTCAACATAGTGAGTTTCACATATAGAATTTGTTCGAAATCATGTGGAAGGTATTTAGAACGCATCTTCTTCTTCAAAACTGTCCATGTCTTGATCTTATCCTTCCCTGCTCTAGCACGTCGAGCCTTTAAATTATCGAACCAAATTCCCGCATTCTTAGTGAGTCGTATATAAGCAATTTTGAAACATTGAGAATCATCAAAACCTTTATAATCTGAAATTTTCTCTAATTGTCTCGCCCACTCAAGAAAATCTTCGGGGCTTCCTAGACCCGTAAAATCATCAAGCTTGATACCTTTATCATCGAACTTTTTATTATAATGGGTATCATCATCACTGCTAGAAGCATCACTATCACTATCATGCCGTTTTTTCTTCTTTTTCTTTTTATCAAGCAATAGTTGTGAAAAAGCATTAAAACGTGCCTCCGTATTATCTTGCAATCTTGCAAATTCATCCATGAGTTTGCTCAAAGATTCCTCCATAATTATAAGACAAAAAAAACAGAAATAAAAGAAGATTCCTAATTGCTTAAACCAAGAAAAACCCTTTCAAGTGAAAGGTAAAAACTTGCAAGCAAAAACTCTAGAAAAAACTAAGTATAGAAAATCTTTCTTTTCGTACTGCCGCCGAACCACCGTCTCACGCGCCGCCATCATCGACACGCGCCCCACCGCCGTGTAGCTGGACTCAGGCCGGAGCTAGGGAGCCGGCGCGTGGCACCCAGATCGGCGCGTCGCCGCCGCTGCCGTCGTCGGAACCCAACTGGACCTTGACTTCTTCTTCAATGGCTGCGCATGTTAGCCATTCTTGATTCTTTACTCCAAGCTCGAACCCTATTGGCCTTAAAACCAATATGATTGGCTCTTCAAAAGAATTTCCCTCTTGATCCACATCATATGATCTAAATGGAGACGGTGTTCTTTCATTTGAAGAATTTGCTCTTATGATGCGTTAAAATGAATAAATTTGTGGTTTTATATTTGGTAGTAATTTTTTTGTATATTAGGTTATAAATTTTTATGTGTTCCTAATTGAAGGATAAAATGTTTCGACTTAGATAAATTACTCACATCAGTCACCTGCATAAGATTACGTGAATAGTATGCAATAGACATGTTCATATTATAGACAATGTCAATTTGTACCCATGTTGGTTGACTAGAAGCTTCCATTTTGTTGATATATTACATAGTTGTACTTGTACATAACAAAATTCAATACATTTTTGTATGTTAGTCATATGATATTGTGATTAGATGCTTGAATAGTAGTTATTTTTAAAGCCTTTTCCATGACTAGAATAACCAATGGCACGCACAATAAGCAACCATCAAATAGATATCAATCAATCAATCAATAACTACGGAGTATGTACTAAAAGATACACTAGCAATGACACGTGTAATATTCTAGTGCGTCTTTTAATATTTTTTATTAAATAATTTAAGAAACAAATCTTACACATAAAGAAAAGATTAAGAATGGTTTAATATGTCTTTTCACAATATATATAGATACTATACACTTTAGTAAAAAAATAAAATAAGTCAAATTTTGAACATAATTTGTGACATACATAGTACTACATATTACTCTACCAATATTACAACAACGATTATTTATAATATTTTTGTATTTAATTATGTATAATAAGCTTGTCAATACAAATATGAAAAAATGTTTAAAGTGAGTTGATTATTAAAAAAAATTACTCCCTCCGTTTTTAAATACTTGCTTCATTTCTCTTGGACACGCATGCCGATGCTAATCTTTAATCATTAATATCTTTAAGTATCAATAAGTATATAAGTTCTAACAACTGAAAATTAATAATCTATTCATTGAGATGATTCTAACAAGTACCCATAAGACTATATTTTATTCTTATGTATAATTAACAAACATTAGTTAAAACAGGACAAATGAATAGTGCAAAAAATAAAAATGGAGCAAGTATTTAAAAATGGAGGGAGTAATTCATAAGAGAAAATGTATAATAATGTGTAAAAAAAATTAAACTGTTATTTATTGTTTTATATACATATTGTTAAGATATTTATACGGCTATCAAGGAAAAAATGATATAAAATTGTTGGTGAAATTTATTATATATAAATTAAAATATACATATATGCGTATTTTAAAATATATATTTTTGCCAAATAATAAATCCATTTGACGAAGACATATTTTTTTTAGTAACTAAATATTGTGTTAATTAAATAATAGTAATTGATATATAATATAATAACAGTCATTAGAAATCAGTGGCAGATCTTGATAATTTTTTTTGAGGGGTCAAATAAAGGTTTATCTAACTTTAAACAACATAGTAGATACTAATAACAATATAAAATAGTTTATTCTTATTTTTAAAAAGTAGCTATTAATAAAAATAAAAAACAATTATGAATAGCAAATACAGTACGTAAATGTCATTGGTTTTTCTTTTTTATTAAATAAAATTTATAATTTATAATTGACTATCAATAATACTGCCATATATGTATTAAACGATGGGCCATTTTGTCATAGGAGTTTGTGCCAAATAAAAACATAGGAGTACTGCGGAGTACACGAAACACAAGTTGTTTCTGAATTTTAAGTCTAATGCTACAAATAAGGATTTTTTTTTAATTTGCTTCTCAATAAAAATTTGATTAGATCTAAGGGGGCCAAGCCTTGGCAAGCCCCTTAGAAGATCCATCCATGCTAGAAATGACACATGTAACTTCCTAGTACCGTTTTTTCCCCAAATAAATCAAGTGCTTACTATTTATTATTCTAGAGGATTTTCAACACATCTCTGTGATAATCGATTCGCATATATTTCCCATATATGTAATTAAATATCTTCCGTATATATTTCCTATACTAATTATGACACATCTTTTAATAGGACAATACATTATTTTTTATTCTTTCAACAAAATATTTATACATTTTAGATTATTTATTTGTGTAACAAAATTAGAAAAAAGATGAATCTATTTAATAATAGATTCATACTACAAGTTGACGCGGGTGAAACCTAGGTCTTTGATATCTAAGATTCCCCGATCAAGACCAAATTTATAAAACCAAACCCAACCCTAAGTACAGGGGTAAGACCGGGTCGAACCCAAGGGAATGCAGTTTATGCTAAAGTCTCTAACTAAACTATTCTGAAGCCTAAGTGAGGGTTGGTCTAGCAAACAAAACAACACAATTAAATGAATACAAGAACGATATAAGGGAAGCTAGGAAATTAGGATCCATATACACGCATAATAATCACACAAATTGGAAAAGAAATCAACCGAGCATACAATGTGAGGGAAAGTAACAAATGCAATCAAAATCACTTAGAGAGCTATTTCCTAGGGTCAAGCTAGATGTCTCTACAAATGACTGCAAAGGAAAATCGCAAATCAAGATCAATAGATAATAATAGCTTCCAAATCAACTTTTCGTATCAATGAATACTATTATGCAATCTAGCTTGATAGTTAAGGTTGATCACTCCTCAAAATATCGAACACATGCACCAATTTTACCAATCAATTTAATCACAATGATGATCAATCAAAATCCCCCAATAGCCATGAATTATCACTCATACATGCTTCACTTTATCCCTAACAAGTAATCTACTCACTAGATATTGCAAATTTAAATAACAAAACTAAACTAATCACGAATTTCATCATCAACATTGTATTCCAAATATACTCAAACTTATCAAAAAAACAAATCAAACAAACAACAAGTAATTCAATCAAATTTCAAGAATTAAACATAAAATTGTAATGAAGAGTAAAGAATTCGTACGAAACTTTGATCAAAATCAAAAGGGAAGAAGATTGAAAGTAACATTCATCAAATTCACCAAGTTTCTCTCTCGAAAAATCTAAGTTTCCCCAAGTTGAGTTTCTCTCTCTAAAATTCCAATCAAAATCTAATTCTAAGCTAAATAAAAACTTATTATCTCTCTAGAAATAAAGAAATACTATATATAGTAAAACTAACAATGGAAGAGTTAGTTGAACGTCCAAAAAGAACCCCAAATGGCACGCCTCTCCTTCACAAGCACGTACGGTCGCTCAAAACTGGATATCGAACAAGGGAAGAGGATCGGAGGTGGGCGACCGCACCTCAAACATGCACGGCCATGCATAGGGCTTGTGCGCTCGCTCTGTACTCGTGCGCGCTCGTGCCTAGGAACAGGGCACTTCCCTCTCGTGCGGTCATTGATGTCCCCATGCGCTCCACATGATACATGTTGGGGGAGGCAGTTAGTAGAGGCCTTCACTGTGGGTTCAATACCAATTTTAATGTCCATGCAGCATGAGATCCCGGCCTTGAAGACTTGGCTTTTGAATTCCTTCCTTTTTGAGCTTCAAGAGGAGGAACCGATTTGCATCTTAAGCTTTGTATGTCCTGAGAGAAGGTCATTTGGATCCTTAGACGTCACCAATTCCCTCAAATTGAAGAAAGACAAACAAATAAAAGAGAAAAAGCAAAATAAACCAAGAAATGCAATAAAATGGGAAAACAACTAAAGAAAACACAAAGTGGAGAAATATAAAAAAAAATAAAGAAAAGGGGATAAAAGAGACATAAAAACAATGAAAATTCATCCTAAAAGAGGCCAAATGAGTGCCAGAAATGACACTCATCAAACTCCCCCATGCTAGACTTTTGCTCATTTTTTAGCAAAACAATGCAAGAAGAAATAGGATGAAAAACTTATTCAAACCAAGAAAAGGGAAGAAAAAGAAAATAATCTACACTAAGACTCAATTTTGTACAAATCAGGGTTGTTTTTAGCTACAACAAGCCCTTTAAACCCCAAAGTCGCCAATGAGGACGAGGGAGTTCTTGTAAGGGTATCCTCAGAGGTTAACCCATAACTATTGAGGGTAAAAATGAGGCAAAATCATTGAATAGAATGTAAAATAAAAAATTCAAACAAATAGCTTTCGAAATGGACCTTTACAAAAGATCAAATGCAAGTGAATAAATAGCTTCCTATATAATAAGGGTATGCATGTTCCAAGATATCCAAGGTTGATTGAAACACAGGATATCCTAAGCATAGAGATCTAATGAGACACAATTGACCTTCATTTCAAACAATCTTACAACATTCTCCCAACTAGCTTCAAATACACTTTTAGTGAGCATCTTAATGCTTCCTCGAAGAAATTGGAAAATAAATTTTTTTTAAGGCTACTTGACATCTCGACTATTGTACACCGCTCTATAGGCTTGACCCACATCTTCCTCCACCGACTTGTGACTCAACCACAAATTACAAAAGGTCTTAAAAAGGGTTGTAATGTAAGGGAGAAAAGGGTGAAGGTATGCTAATATTTAAAATTTGGTGGTATAACTAAATTGTGAAGCAAAGATTGGCCAAATCTCAACACCTTAACCATGTAATCACAAAACATAAACACCAACACCCCCAAGCTTATTCAAAGCCAACATCAGAATCATATATACAAAGAGTAAGAATGTTTCCCCCAAGCCAAAATAAAGCATTGTCCTCAATGCTTAGGGAGAAAACACTCACAACAAAATATTTTGTAATGTTTTTCATTTTAAACTTATTTCACTTTTGCCAAAGCTTATGACTTTGCTTTTCTTTATCTCATTTTTTTTTTCATTTTTTTCATTTTTCACTTAATATCATTTCCGTAGTCTCTTTTAACTATGGACGAATTTTTCAACTTGGCATTTTCCTGTTATTCACAAGATAATTACAATACAAACTAGCTTACATTATAAGAACCAAACAATCTATTTCATCCACGAAAACTCTAATAATAGAGACCAAATGCTTCATAAAAACAAAAGATGGGAACAAGAATGAAATAAAAGGCTCAAAAGCTAAAGATGTGTCTTGAAAATAAAGGTATAAGGCTCAAAAGGCTAGCAAGAATGAAAATGTAAACCCAAAAAAAAAAAAAAAAAAAAAACTATCCTGGAAAAGTAAATATTACCACCTCGAAAAGATGCCTTTGTCCTTCCTAAATGGCACT